CGGGGGGGGACCCGCGGGCCCCCCGCCCCCCCCGCCCCGGGCCCCGCCGCCGCTCGGAGGCTACCGGCTGGGCACCGGTACTGCCACGGGAATCCCCCCCGCCGGCCCCGGTGAACGGCGGCGGGATGCCGGTGGCGAGAGGGCCAGGGCATCCCCGGGGGCGGTCGCGGGAGCCCCACGGGGCGGGGGCCGGGGATTCCCGGGTAGCGGCTCCCGGTCCGGGTGGGGTGAGGGCCCCGCGATGCCCGGTGGGGCGGTGCCACGGGCTCCCACAGTCGGTAGCCCTGCACTCGCCCTGGAGGTACCCCGGGGGTGCTGCCACCCGTTCCCCCAGTGCCATCCCCAACCTCCTCAAGGGGTGACAACTGCGTGCTCCCGGGGTGACGGCCAGCACAGGGCCACAGGCAGGGACGGCAGCCCAGCCGCCGCCTAGACCTGAACAGCCCCTGCCACATCCCGCATGGCCACTGCAGTGGGACACGTGGCTCTGCAGGGCAGGGGTGCCAGCCTGGCCTCCAGTACAGCCCGGGACCAAAATGGCACTGGGTGTCCTGGGGTCACCCCGCTCCCTTGGGTGCCATGCCCCCAAGCAGACCCCTCGCCGGCCTGGCCTGGGCAATTGTCCCTGAACTAGGGCTCCCCCAGTCATTTGCCATCTAGTGCTTGTCACCAGCTCTTCTCTGCCGTAACTGAGGCCGGTGGTCGTGGCCCCCATGGGAGACCCCTCTGGTTCCTTCGGACTGCGCCAAGCTCGGGGTCCAGAGTGCCCGCTGTCCCTTCGCTGCGCCCTGGGGCCGTGCCAGGAGCGGGGCAGCGAGGTTTCGGGGTGGAGCCGTGCCAGATGCGGGTGGGCGATGGGTGTGGGTGCCCCACGCAGGCCACGACCCCTCCGCCGTTTCCTCCCCGTGGGCAGGGTGGCAGTCGCCCACTGCGGCTGCACACACGGGCATTGTTCTGCCGGGGCCCGGCCGGAAGGACTTCCTCCATCCCGGCCAGGGGATGGATGACCTGGGGAATCCGAGTGCTGGCAGCCCGCTCCCACCACAGCCGGGCATAGCGGCTCCGGTGCCCGGCCGAGCCCGACCACCTCGCTCGCAGCAGGGCCGCAGTGGCCACGTGTCCCCCGGCCCCCTTGGCTCTAGCCCCGACTCACCTTGCTGGAACTCTCCTCCTGCGATCCGACCTCACAGCGCGGCCACGGCAGCCGGGCACTGCCGGCTCGGTGGTTGTGGGGGTGCCCCAGCAGCACCCAGGGCGGGCAGGGGGCTGCGGCCATGCGGGGGGGCCGGGGTGCTTCCTTGAGGCATGGGGACCGCAGGGACGGGGGGCACGGAGGGGCCCACGGGCATCGTCAGGTCAGAGCAAGGGCGGGCGAAGGGAGCCAGGCCTCCGGCCCCGCCAGCGCCGGGGGCCGGGAGCTGCCTTCCCCTTCCCCTTCTCCCCACGGCGGCGGGGGGAGGCAGGCGGGGGAGCGCTCCCCGAGCCACATGGTGGGCTGGAGGAGGAGCCGTTGCCCAGGCAACAGCTGAGAGCATCCTTCACCCCTGAAAATGGTGTGCAGAGCTGCTGCCACAGCCCCACAGCGCGGGGCAGTGCTCAGGACCCCCACAGCTCGCCTCTGTCCGTAGGGTCCAGGTCCACGCACTCCAGCTCTGGACATAACACCAGCATCCCCTCACCTGCATGCTGCTACCCCTCAGCAAGGACAGGGATGGGGATGAGACACCCTGCAAAAGCTGGGACACCACTGGGCAGGTGGGAACAGGCAGAGCCACTTCCCTGCCCTGCTCAGGGCTAGCCACGGTTCTGTTCACACCCCAGCTCTGCCCCACAGCCACTCTGAACATGTGACAGACACACAAACACGCTGGTGACCCCAGGACCTTGGTGCCAGGGTGCCATGGCACAGGCAGTGCCGGCAGGGCGGCACAAGCATCCTGCCTGGTGTCTTTGGAACAGCAATCCCCAAGCAGTCCCCATCCCCCCGCCTGTCTTCCTTCCTTCCATGGCTGCAGAAAATTCCTGGATTTTACCCCAAGATGCCCCCTCTGAGTGTGAGAACTCCTCCTCGGCCTGCTCCCATAGCAACTGTTCCCTAGCTACCCGGCCGCACTTGCTATTCTCATCCCAGTGCAGCTGCGTGTGGCCCCCCCGCGCTGCGCACGAGGCTGTCGCCGCTGCCACCGGCCCCAGACCCCAAAACCACATGTCCCCAACCAGGCTGCCCCCCTTTGACTGTTTCACCCCTGGTGACCGTCCTGACCCTCACCCCGTGTCACCCCCCTTGGAGGGGGCTCTTCCTTGGGCTAAGGTTCCCATTAGGTTGCCACAAGGTTCCCATTCATGGTGGCCCCCCATAAGCAGTAATTCACCATGACCAGAGGGCAGCAGGACTCTGTCCCAGCCCCACAGCACACCTGGGACAGCCCAGGAGGGGCTGTGCTGGGCATGGACATGGCAGCAGGCACAAGTGTCCCGAACAGCACAATGCCTCATACCTGTCATGCCCCGACACTGACCCAAAACATGCAATAGAAGACACTGAGGGTC